TCAGCGACATTTATTGACGCATTGTACATATCCACAACTGACCCAAAATATGCAGCAAGAACATCCGACCACCCCTCTTAGATAATCACAGTCGATCTAGAATGTCCGCCGAGAACACCCTACCGTACATTATACATATTCCACATATAACCTAGAATGTGCATCAAGAACACTCATCCACACATCCTACATATCAACAGCTTACACAGAATGTGAACTCCCTTCCACACATCGAGTATAACCACAGCAAAGCTAGAATGTTCATGAAGAACAGCCTCCCACACATCGTACAGATCCTCATCTGACCTAGAATGTTCATCAAAACACATTACCCCACATTGTACATATCCCCAGCATGCCAGCAGATCTGGACCAGTCTCAACATGCCGTAGATCTGCAGTAAATCAAAAGGCCACATGCTTGATAGCGAGGCGCATGGACAATGATCTGATGTTGGCTGCCAAAAGACATTGTCTCTCGGGATGGTTGTATGGCTTCACTTGATTCGGGTTTCATGTACTGCACGTGCTTCCGCATTACTGATTAAAGAAGCACTTCTTCATTACTGAATGTGAATTTAACGACTTCAATGGGCCACGTGGTTCAGTCGCACTAAATGAAAGCTAAATATTTTAACGCCTTTGTTTCTTTTGTTACAAGCACTCAATGGTATTCACGAGGCGGTGTTTAAATGTGTTCCGATTGGAAGGTTTCATTGTCTCTATCATGCCAGAGTGTGTCATTTGAAATCGATATCATTTAGTTGGGAAAAGAATACTCAGTAACACAAGAAACAGCAAATAGAAATAATGTTTTCAACATTGCAAGATACAAACATTACCAAAAATTCATCAGTAGTACCGTTTATAGAAAACCTCGCAGCTGTAACACACAGATGACGTCACTCTTGAAGGCTATGACGTCATGAAACAATGGAATACGTCGTATGTTTCCGTTGTAAATGATCTTGGTCATATCAAACATGTCTTTCAAATTTAACTTTAGATTTTATGTATTATGGCTTTCGGCAAACCAACCGACACACTGATGTACCTTTCAGTCTTGGCATTCAGGAAATTATATGATTATCAAGAAGACTTTTAAGTGCAGTTAAATGTCCGTGATCAAATCCCATTTAAGAGATTTCGGACCAATCATCATAAACACCCCCCCCCACCCCCACCCTATTCACTTCCAAATTAAGAACAAGTGCTACATAGTTAATGATTTATTGTAGTGTATGTTGTAATCTAGGGAAAAATCCCAGCGCCTTGAGCAAGCACTACTTGCCTGTATATGTGCACTGTATAAATATCGTATAATAATAATAATCAAAGTGAAAAGCGAAGATAGCATTCCGCAGTATATCGCTTGGGTTATTAGTTATAATATATCTTAAGTATTATAAACGTCGATGTACATCCCTGCTATCTTGGCATTTATTGTATTGATTTGCATTTATTTGTCTCATGTACCACCGTTGGTGGGTTTTTGAGAATAAAGATGAGATGAGATGTTACCGTCTTGAGATTTTCCAAGAGTGTTTCTTTAACGGAACGCTCTTTTCAGAGCACTGACGACTTCATTACTGGCAAGACTTTTGAAATGGATGAACAATGTATGCCAATAAAAGCAGCTAAAGGAGAAAGGGCGTTGTGATATATCCGGAGACAGAGACGCCTGAGTATCAATACTGACGTGAAACGTGGGGTAAGGCAAGGACATAGACGATGGGCGTTGTTAGTTTATCTGTCAAAGATGAAGGGTCATTATGCCAACAATATTATTGTATAAAACTATTTTTTTAAATAACATAACAAATCCCAAATTTATACTTTCTTTGTAAGTCGCTTGATTCAATTGATATGCATGTAGTTCTTGCAGGCTCGTGCACATGTTGCTTTCAATTTTATAAAGTCTAATTAGTTTTAACACGTCTCAATTTAATTTAGAAAACCCATTTGTAAAGAAAGTCATAACATACGAAAGCTGTATTTTAAAGTTTGGTTAGGTGTCAACATAGTACAATAAACTACATTTATAACAAACATGCTAATGAACTGACGGATATATCGAATTGTTTGGGGTTTTTATTTGGTCCCTACCACTTGTTGTGTAGTCGAAATGCGTACAACGAACTACGGATATAACGAACTAAAATTAGAGGTACCTTAACCATAGTCCATTGAACGCATTTGTTTTTGTATACAAAGAATATATTTCTTTGTCAACATTCACATCAACAGTTTTTCAATCCTAGCACCCCCACGGTACCCCTAATTGTACACACCTCACCTGCGTCATCAAGAGTACGGGATATCGAATGTATCGCGCTAAGACACTCTATGGTAAGTCCAGTTATCGGTGGTACGATACAAGCAAAGTTTGTAGAATTCTAGCAAGAACATCGTTTCATAAAGACGAAAGATTTCGAGATAAGGAGTTGTCGTTGCATAGATACTACCATGCTACCCTCTAAACACGTTTGATCTAATAACCAAATAAATATATAAAATTCATGTTTGCATAACTGAATGAACAAACACTGTTTCGACCCTTACATAAAGCAGAATTGTATTATATATGAATACACCCGGTGGTAGCGTCTTGTCCGAGGTTTTTAGCACTGTTCTAGCAATAACACCAGAAACGGGCTCAACACATTCTTCCCATGTGGGGAATCGAACCCGGAACTTCAGCGTGATGAGCGGACGCTTTAGATATTAGTCTGCACAAACGCCCCAACTACATCACGAGCATGCGTTTATGAATCAGTGAGAAATTGTGAATATACCATAAATCATTTTCATTAATCAGTCACTTACGTTTAGTTACACATAAGTACGCATCTAATTACCTTTGAAGGTTTCCGTTGATCTTGGTGCGTCATCAGAAAAGGCGATGCTGGTGGGACTGTTTAAAGCACTCAGTCCGGGGAATCGTAGACTATTTTTCCAATTTGAGACTCCTCGTCCACCTTTTCCACAAGTTCACGCAACTCTTGTAACTGTTTCTCAATCTTGTCCAACCGGTCATTCGTTTGTTCCTTGTCCGAAGTGGACGTCTCAACATAGTTGTTGAGACTGTTGATGGAATATTCAATATTGGCTGGACACCCACAACTGTCAAGCCTACCACTGGGGACAGGGGATGGGGTGGTGAAGGCTGGTTCAGTGGTTGGGGGTAGCAATCCCTGGGTTGTGTACAACACCCTCTGTCTCGACCGCTGTCGTTCTTGCTCCTTCCTTTCTAATTCCCTCTCTCGTTCCCTTCTCTCAGTTTCTCTTTGCCTTTCTCTCCCTCCTGCTGTTGGGAAATATATACTTTTGCATGCAAATTGTGTGAATGTCAGGTGCTACAAGTAGACCTGGGTGCCCTTGTACAAAACAACCTTAGCGCTACGACAGTCGTAAGTCCATGTTAAGGTATGAGAGTTACGATCGCTTTAGCCCTAAGATCGCTTTGAATAACGGCACCCTGAACATGCTGCACTTTGCAAGAACACCTGGTGTCATCACTGTTCATTGCTCCAGTCATAATAATTGCACAGCAATATTTAAAATTGAATCCTGTTACTGGGGATGATCAAAACTGGTTATTTATGTCCACTGTTCATCACCTATCAACACTATTTAACGGTTCAGTGATGGCTTCTATTCAGCGCTAATTAACTGTTAAGTGCTGGCTTCCATTTGTCCTTTCCATTTGTCCTTTACCAATCACACATCAACGCCTGTTACCTGTTATCTTCCATTATTTAGCCTAGTGGTGGTCCGATTAATTGAAATAATCGAAGATTGGTCGCGGTGACTAAACGACCAAGCAATCGATCATGTTTTCTCATAATCGAACACAAACAATTCTGGAACACTTGTTTTCATCAACAATATTTTTCACAAGGTTGGTTTTGTCTGTTACATTTCATAAGCATTATAAGCTCGTTCCAAGTCATGATTGAATTTATCTTAAAGACACCAAGAACTTTATGTTCCTTACATACTAGTCATCCTTTAGAGATGTGAAATATTGCCCAAACCTCCCAAAATAACTACATGTTTGTTTCCTTATTTTTTTGTGCATTAACAATTTCAGAAATGACGCTAACCACTTATTTTCGATGATTGATCGGTGGTAATGAACCAATCATCAATTATGAGATTTTAACCAATTCCCAACACTAGTTTAGCCTCCATCTTTGTTGTCTTATTACTTGTGTTGTTCTTACATGTATATATATATATATGTTCTCTGCCTCATACTATTCATTCACCTGATGAAGGAGTAAGGATATACTCCGAAACGTTGTGTTCCTCATCATAAAGAAATTTGACATCCATAAAAACTTCTTCCTGGTTATCTGTTTAGTATTGACGATCTGTATTGGATGCCAGCCGCGAAAATGGAGGGCCGTAATGTTTCTAATCCACCATAGCATTATGGAAATAAATATCTAGACTCTTCCTTGAACACTTGCTATTTTGGACTTGTACCATATGTTCCTGTATTTGTTCAGGTGAACATGTGTTCACCTTTACGCGAACACTTAATACCATCACTATTTGATAGTGATTCATTAACGTATGTTCATGATATAGTGAAAATAGATTCTGTCGTTGGCAAAGATTTCTTAAGGATGACAAAGTGTTTTAATGAGTCACAAAGAGCATAAGACGACTCAGTATTACACATTAAATCTGAAATTTATTATTCGGCATTTTCGTTTTATGTTGCAACATCAAAAGAAATATTTCACAGCAGAACATATACTGACGAAAGGTTACGGTGTTATTTAACTTTTTTCCGAATTAAAATATATTGTTGTATAAGCATATCCCGGTGTCGCGTTGTGTGGAACGAAAGACAAAAAATACCGCCAGTCTTTCCGTTTTCTGCTTCATACTGAAGTCAGCTTGTTGACATTTTCCGCCACGAGCCAAAGTCACGTGATCCGTTATTGTATCAGAACCAGACTGGTATCATTGTGTGGAACATTACAACACATCCCTTAAGCAAATACTACAACTTGGACTGTTCCCTGGCTGTTGGTCTCAGAGAACCCAAACCTACGGGTTTCTTTGTATGTGGAGGCAAGTTTCTCCAGACCATTTGGACGCGCACAGGCGTTTTTAAGTGGATGCCTACTAGGGCCGGCAGACCAATGGCCTTTAAGGGAATCCATCGTCACTAAACTTTCAAAGGCCCGATTCGCTTGTGGCCGGTGTTTTTTGACATCCCATTGTTTGTGCAGATTGGGATTCGTGGCAATCTTTCATTGCCGTTTCCCCAAAACGACCGACGCCTGTCTATCCAACATCTGGTCCACTTACCGTCTGGAAATTGGCCTGGAAGCATGGAAGTGCATATACTTCGAAATATACTGCTAATATGTGTTCTGCTTCTCGTATGCGTACAGCTCAGCTTGCAGCAGAGGGATTATAATGAATACGACGACATCGACGACGGACTGACACCAGCTCCTAGGGCACGACGGCCACGACCAGATCGACATCGTACAAGCAGTCGGACCAGAGGAAGGGACAACAGCAGGAGGGAGAGAGAGAGGCAAAGAGAAACTGAGAGAAGGGAACGAGAGAGGGAAATAGAAAGGAGGGAGCAAGAACGACAGCGGTCGAGACAGAGGGTGTTGTACACAACCCAGGGATTGCTACCCCCAACCACTGAACCAGCCTTCACCACCCCATCCCCTGTCCCCAGTGGTAGGCTTGACAGTTGTGGGTGTCCAGCCAATATTGAATATTCCATCAACAGTCTCAACAACTATGTTGAGACGTCCACTTCGGACAAGGAACAAACGAATGACCGGTTGGACAAGATTGAGAAACAGTTACAAGAGTTGCGTGAACTTGTGGAAAAGGTGGACGAGGAGTCTCAAAATTGGAAAAATAGTCTACGATTCCCCGGACTGAGTGCTCTAAACAGTCCCACCAGCATCGCCTTTTCTGATGACGCACCAAGATCAACGGAAACCTTCAAAGGTAATTAGACGCGTACTTCTGTGTATCTAAACGTAAGTGACTGATTAGTGAAAATGATTTATGGTATATTCACAATTTCTCACTGATTCATAAACGCATGCTCGTGATGTAGTTGAGGCGTTTGAGCAGACTAATATCTAAAGCGTCCGCTCATCACGCTGAAGTTCCGGGTTCGATTCCCCACATGGGAAGAACGTGTTGAGCCCGTTTCTGGTGTTATTGCTAGAATAGTGCTGAAAACGGCGTAAAACCATACTCACTCACTCATGATATAGCCGGATTTGCACAATCGGCTCTGTTTTTAGCAATGATTTCTTGTTGACGTGCAAAGTTCTTTGTTGATTTTATTAAATCAAATAGTACACGTTTAATCTTTTACTGATATGGGGTGCGATTAGATCTTTAAATGATTGACTTATTATCTGTGCTTACTTTTGGGGGATCATATTTACTACCGTTCTTAGTTTACGCTGTTAGATAGGTCCGTTATTTTGTGTGTTTGTGTGTCTGTGTTTCTGTCTTTGTGTCTGTGCGTGTCTGTGTGTGTTTGTGTGTCTGTGTTTCTGTCTTTGTGTCTGTGCGTATCTGTGTGTGTCTGTGTGTCTGTGTTTCTGGCTTTGTGTCTGTGCGTATCTGTGTGTGTTTGTGTGTCTGTGTTTCTGTCTTTGTGTCTGTGTATCTGTGTGTGTTTGTGTGTCTGTGTTTCTGTATCTGTGTGTGTTTGTGTGTCTGTGTTTCTGTATTTGTGTCTGTGTATCTGTGTGTGTTTGTGTGTCTGTGTTTCTGTCTTGTGTCTGTGCGTATCTGTGTGTGTTTGTGTGTCTGTGTTTCTGTCTTTGTGTCTGTGCGTATCTGTGTGTGTTTGTGTGTCTGTGTTTCTGTCTTTGTGTCTGTGTGTATCTGTGTCTGTGTGTCTGTGTGTGTGTGTGTGTGTGTTTCTCCCTATATGTGTCTGTGTAAGCAATCTATGTCATCTATTGTCATTAAATATAAAATCTAAAAACAAATATGATTTAACAATGAAACTGATACGATGAATCCGCTTACGCGCTACACAGCACCCTCCCGCAATTAGACCACAGACCTCATGCTTTGACCTATGGAGGTTTCACTTGTGTTAAAATCTGTTTACAGAAATGTGGAATGCAAGTACAGTGTAACCAAAGAAGATAAAACAAAATTAAGTCTCAGTTTGCAGGTATTCACGGGCAATTTACATACAATGTACATATGATTTCATGTCAGTTGAAAGTTATATTTACGGACATTTACATTCAAATTTACAAAATGTATTGCGGGATTGACACTGTGTGTGTGTGTGTGTGAAGTCAGAGGTAACTTTTTTGTATTTGCTAGGAGATAACATCGGATGTCATGCCGTGGTGGTCGATATTCGATTACAATGAAGGTCCTTACCCTTAATATTTATAACTTTTGGTGTTTGATATTCTATTAACTGAAGGTGTTTGCCATAAGTTTACATTGAACCTCGTACCCACAATAACTGTAGGTGTTTGGTATTAGACTACATTGGACTTATATTGGACGACAAAACCCACAACTCTTTGATATTTGATATTAGATTTCTTTGGATCGTACCCATAAAAACTGTAGGTGTTGACATTAAATTACATTGAACCTCGTACCCACAATAACTGTTTGATGTTTGACATTAGATTACATTGGTCCGTACCCACAATAACTGTAGGTGTTTGATGTCAAAACCCACAATAAATGTTTGGTGTTTGATACTAGATTATATTGGCCGTCAAATACTACAATAAATGTTTGATGTCTGATATTAGATTATATTGGACGTCAAAACCTACAATAAATGTTTGACATTAGATTATATTGGACGTCAAAACCCACAATAAATGTTTGATGTCTGCACCAAGCAATCCACCGAATCTTGACCACCAGATACCAAAATGTCACCTCTTAAGACAGAAATGCTGAAGATTCATTCTACCTGAATTTCCACCAGTTCTTTGATGAAAGACTACAATGTATGTCTGTATCCTTAATGACTATTGGCGTTTATGTCAGATTACAATTAACATCGTTAACAGATTATATCTTTACGCAGTGGGAATGATCCAAAACAAGTTTTATAACAAAATATTACTTAAATCGACCTACAAGCATGTTTTCTAAGAACAAAAATACTAGATTTCGTGTTGTATATTTTACATATTTTATTGCATGTGTAAAGCATTTTACTGACAATCCGTTTTCCCGCCTGTGTCAGGAATATAATATAGGTAGAAACAACGCCACATTAACTCAACCTGCAACCAACTGCTCGCATATCACCTCAAACTAGGCCCAGGAACCAAATTCCGGAATTCCTTGCCATTTGTTAACATCTTTAATCCATTATTGTCCCTAACAATAACATTTCTTACCTCATAAATGTGGAGGTTTCCTCCATGTTCGGCTAATTATACAGTATTGTTGCCACACGTTACTCGGGGGAAATTGTGGAGTTGGCGATTTCCTTTAGAACACTTCACGATTTGTCTGTATGTTTGTGTGTCCATGTGTCTGCATTTGCTAGCTTCGCTGGTGTGTTTTCTTTGGTTTCTAGTCCTTTTGGTATACTTGAATATCTTCATCATGGGGGCCATCCCCCATCCTCGTATCGACGGATCAATTCACCCATCCATCCAACCATCCATGTTTATCCATGTAGTCGTAGCTATCACCTATGTGTCTATTAAGTATCAACCTATGCTTTGTTGTAAGAGGGGAATAACGGGATCGGGTGGTCAGGCTCGCTGACTTGGTTGACACATGTCATCGGTTTCCAGTTGCGCAGATCGATGCTCATGCTGTTGATCACTGGATTGTCTGGTCCACACTCGATTATTTACAGACCGCCGCCATATAGCTGGGATATTGCTGAGTGCGGCGTAAAAGTAAACTCACTCACTCTATTAAGTATCCGTTATCAATGCAAAGCATCTATGTGTCTATTTATTACTTGCAAGGCTTCATTTTAGCATCAAGTTATCTGTCCAGGCACAGTCCAAGTTCGTCCATAATTATAGTGACAAGCATTTATCCAGGTGCCAATATACGTTTTCCTTTATTTATCTAGCCTTCTGTGTATTTATCAACGCATGCATTCATTTTGCCATCCATCAATCTTCCTGTCCAAAATATATATGCATCCTTTCTGGTATCCAACTGCATATCTATGCATCTATCCATTTGTTGACTGCTGCATCTTATCTGCAATATTGCGGGATCAACCGTCAGTCTATCATCAAAACATCTGGACACAATATGAATGTGTTTCAACTAGTGGTGGTCCGATTAATTGAAATAATCGAAGATTGGTCGCAGTGACGAAATGACCAAGCAATCGATCATGTTTTCTCATAATCGAACACAAACAATTCTGGAACACTTTTCGCATTAACAATATTTTTCACAAGGTTGGTTTTATCAGTTACATTGCATGAGTACTACAAGCTCGTTCTAAGTCATGATTGAATTCATCTTAAAGACCCCAAGACAGTTGTGTTCCTAACCTACTAGTTATCCTTTCAAGATGTGACATTTGCCCCCCAAAACCCAAAGAACTACATGTTTTTTCTTTATGTTTTGTGTATTAACAAAAATAACCAGGACAACTTTCATAAATGACGCTAACCAATTATTTTCGATGATTGATAGGTTGTAATGAAGCAATCATCAATTATGAGATTTTAACCAATTCCCAACACTAGTTTCAACCCCATTCGCATTCATGATTTATCTATTCAAACTCTCATATATCTTTGCATTCTATCCATTCATTTTTGTGTCATGTGATGCTGCTACGGTGCTTAACCTAAATAAAAGTTGTAACAAATAGATACATTCATGTAATACTACAACAATGCAATAATGTATGTAAACCCGAAGTAAAGTATCACATGCTTGCTTGATACAGCAATGCTTAACATGAATGTAAACGTATAACAAATAATAGATTCATGCAATGATAAAACACTGCTAAACATGCATGCATATCTGGGACAAATTGAACGCGCATGCATACTACTACAATGTTCAACACCCAAAGCTTTAACAATGCTATGCATGCGAATCTGTAACAAAACATATACTCATGCCAATAATGGTTGTCACCCCCCCCCACACCCCACCCCATGCATTCAAATAAACAAAGTAAAACTAAAGCTGCAATGAATACTGCATGCAAATAAATTACAACGAATGCTATGCATTTTGTTTGCTCATTAAAACTGTAACAAATAACAATGTTATGCAAACAATACCAGCTATCAAGTCTGTAACAATGTTACACAATATCCATTCAACAAAGCTCAATATCCGAATGTTCAAGTGTTACATCCTGAGCCTGACGGTATCTTGGCGTGGCTTACAAGAGTAACAAACACAGAGCAACCCAACACCGCTTTTACGACCGCTTCTGAGGCATTTCCCCAGGTTAAACCCCATTCCCCGGTCGCCTCCGCTGTTCCTTGTCTTACCCCTCAGAACGGAAGTACAGACTTGTGTTTTTCACCCCAGGGGAAGTTCTTTCCTTGTCAATTCTCATTTACATCCGCCGAAGCATTTGTGCCAGAAATAGATGCCGTGAAGTCAGCACATGAATTAGGCATGGTGAAAAACGTTCCTCGTCCGACCATCCGAATGGTGCAATAATAGAAACGAGGTGCCTCTTTCGGGGATATGTGGCTAATCAAATCAGTTTATCATGTACAGATGTACAAAGGAAATGCCAGCTAAACTCGGTGCCAGTCTGCTACCACCTGCTTGTACTACATGGCTCTGATACTTTGTTGGACGTGACTGAAAATATTAATATTGTTTTTTATGCTTAAGTGATGTACGTTGAATTTCTGTTTGTATACGTATCTATTTTGTTAATCTTGATGGATTTCTTTTAATTATCCCCACTTTTCTCGAAACGTAATTCTTATAATGAAGTAAAGACAACATTTTGTGTTTTATTGCCGCAGCAGCTGCATCATCACCATCACCATCATCATCATCATCATCATCATCATCATCATCATCATCATCATCAAGTTCTGTCGCTATTTCATCACTGTTATGTTCATCATCTTTAAACTATCACGATAGTTGTCGCCATTTCTACCAACATGCTGGTCAGCATTGTTATCATTAAAACTGTCTTTGGCATCATCATCCTCATCATCTTTACCATCTTGTCATCATTATTATGCTCATCATCTTTACCATCATACCTTTAATTGAGATCATCATCATCACCCGCTGGTGGTTTATGTGATAACGGCGACTGATTGTGTGATTTCAAATTGTAACCAACTTTAGACTCTAACTAGCGCGCTATAATGAATGCATTATTATATACTACCCATCAAAAGTTTAGACTCACTAGTGTAAATGTAGCCACTTACTTGTCCACTGTTCTAAACTAGCTTTTTGCAAAATATTCCATACTGTTTAAAGGTACTGTTTAGTTATGAACTGGTGTATTGTAAAACATATTCGTAACATTGAAAAGATTATTGTCATGAGTTCAGTAAATGATTAAAATCTGTGAAAATTGGCGAATTCTTAACAAAACTTTACACCAAAACGAATCTGTTCACATGCACGACATTTGCTCATGCCTTTCGCAATTTGAAGCATCATCCTTGTGCAATTCATCTGCATAAGGTTTTCAGTTGGTTCCCCCCAAGTTGGTGGAGAAATTCATCTTCGATGTAACCACATACATATACATAACATAGTGAGTGCTTTAAGTGAGTCTAAACTTTTGATGGGTAGTATATATCATATTCCCCCCTCTTTCAGTTGTTCGTGTTGTCGTTTAGTCAATAGAAATACATTTCACAGCCAAATGAGATTAAATTAAATACAAAGGTCAGTGCGCCCCACGAGAGGCACTCTTGTGTCACCAGCATACCAGACAAAACAGTTGAAGAGCTTATAGACTCATTCCAGGACAATCCCTCACCCCACCAACCCATCCACCTTCACCCCACACACCCCTCACCACCTGTTTTCCTAACAACCCGTGAAGGTCCGGGTTAGAATGAACCTTCAGTAACCCATGCTTGTCGTAAGAGGCGACTAACGGGATCGGGTGGTCAGGCCCGCTGACTTGGTTGACACATATCATCGGTTCCCAATTGCGCAGATAGATGCTCATGCTGTTGATCACTGGATTGTCTGATCCAGACTCGATTATTTACAGACCGCCACCATATAGCTGGAATATTACTGAGTGCGGTGTAAAACTAAACTCACTCACTCACTCACTCTTCCTAACATCCCCGCCCTCTTCCCTCAATTCAAATGCAAATCCAGACAATATTTAACGTGGCTTTGCACCAAAATGATAAAAAATCCACCTGTTAACCATCTGCAAACGATTCGTTTTCAGCCAAATATTTACGTTCTCAAGAACTGAAGTTTTAGAATGGAAAGCGTTTGGACAAAATTGGCCACACCCTTACAAAGTGACTAAAAAATTATCCGTTTTAAAACAATAGATGTCGGTGATCGCATCCTTGACCTCATTTCAATCTGAATAAATATCATCCGGTTTGAATTACTTCATATAGAAAATGTATATGTCTGAATGTTTGCCAAACACCCATTGGCCTTGAGGGTTGCATTCCCCAGTTAAAGAATTTGTAGAAATGTTGAAGTGCATATATTTTAGCTTAGGGCAACAGTCACATTACCACGGCAACACGAGTGCTGAGTTGTTAGCTGGCGTTTACCAATAAACACAAATATATAATCAGACGATTCGGACTAGATTTGGTCTTCATCAATGCATCCTGGTCATATGAAAATACGAACGGACTGGTTGATGCATGTTATTGTATCTTACGATGCTCATGATGTCAATCACTAGATTGTCTGGTCCAGACTCGAGTAGTTACAACCCCCATATAGCTGGAATATTGCTGAATTACACACAAAACGAACAGAAGTATCACTAACAATGACTATATAATGCCCAAATAATTATTCGTTCTGATAGTAGTCACAAGAAAACAGCAATAACTCACTGGCTTGTCTCGAAACACGGATGTTTCCTCGAAGGTTCCGAATGTTTCGTTTAACAAGGCTTGACTGTATTAAAACACAGGGCTGTGTTCTGTGATTCTGATCTTAAAGTGGTACCCTTTTAATGATGGCACATGTGTTGTACATTCCAAAGCCTCAAATGTCATGGAGACAACATCAGGTCCATTCAGTGGGTGAGTGAGTGAGTTTAGCTTTACGCTGCTTTTAGCAATATTCCAGCAATATCACGACGGGGGACACTAGAAATGGGCTTCACACATTGTACCCATGTGGGCAATCGAACCCGGGTCTTCAGCGTGACGAACGAACGCTTTAACCTCTAGGCTACCCAACTGCCCCAAGTCGATTCAGCGTTTAATCAGACACAGACAGACAGATATAGTAAACTACGGTTATGACGAACTCAAAGGGACCACAAAATGTTGTTCGGTATAACCGTAGTTCGTTATAAGCATTTCGATAAAACGTACAAGTGGCTGGACCCAAATTCATTACGTTGTATCCGTCAGTTCGTTACAAGCGAGTTCGTTATAAGCATACTGTAGACTGTAGACACAGTTCCCAAGTTTGTTAATTTCATCGCATTGACTCATGTATATATTGACAACAAACAGGAAATTCCTGAACAGATGCTGTACACGTGCATGCCGGCCAACTTACACGGCATGCATCCTATGAAGCCTCGAAGGTTGATAACCTGTGTTAAAGTCAACCAGGTGTGGCTAGAAGCTCTGACCCAGATATTGCCTGATCCATTTGATGCAAACAAGGTGTTTTGTTTGTCGGACATGGTGAAGCTGTATGGGGTAAAGACGCTGATTAAGTCCTGAGAATTAAGTCGTTTCATATGAACCCATGAAGATCAGGTTAGAATTGATCTTCAGTAACCCATGCTTGTCGTAAGAGGCGACTAACGGGATCGGGTGGTCAGGCTCGCTGACTTGGTTGAAGCATGTCATCGTATCACAGTTGCGTAGATCGATGCTCATGCTGTTGATCACTGGATTGTCTGGTCCAGACGCCAGACCGCCGCCATATAGCTGGAATATTGCTGAGTGCGGTGGTAAATAACTACCAAACCAACGTACAATTATGTGGTCTGTTATCTGTTACTCTCTGTCTTTTATGGCTAACGTTAGATAGAGGAGTAAACATGTCTACGGTCATCTGACAAACGACCAAACGCTCTTACTGCTTTATCAGCAGGTTTATAAACATAGGCACTATATATTCAACACAAGTTGACACCAGACGGAAAACACATGCTGACCTGGCAGACCAAACCGTTATGTGGGTTCCTACAGTTAATCCCTCCCGAATCATTCCAATCTTACGTTACAATGTAAACAAACCGCCCCTTGCCGAATATGTTTTTCCAAATGCCAAATGGAATCGATATTTCGACATGCTGGCAAAGCACATGAAATATGCACACGTGGCACCGACCTCTCTGCTTTGTTTTCAACAGATTGTCAGGACGTTCTAGATCGAGGGAACCCCCGGCGGGGGATCTACCAGATCAAACCTGAAAGCAGCGCCTACACATCCCTGGTGTTCTGCCAAGATGGATGGACGCTCCTGCAAAGGCGGTACGACGGTCAAACAGACTTCCACAAGTAAGCCATGACGTCATCGCCTGTAGCCATCAGACCGACCTCTGTGCGCATGGATGGTCGAGGGGTAGCCTAGTGGTTAAAGCGTTTGCTCGTCACGCCGAAGACCCGGGTTCGATTCCCAACATGGGTACAATGTGTGATGCCCATTCCTGGTGTCCCTCGGTGTGATGTTGCTGGAATATTTCTAAAAGCGGCATAAGACCAAACTCACTCTTCTGTACTCAAGGATGGTGGAGGGGTAGCTTTGTGTTGAAAGTGTTCGCCCATCAACAAAAATTCTCGAGTTTAATTCCACACATTTGTAAAATGTGTCTAGCCCATTTCTGATTTATCACACTGACAGTGATATTGCTTGAATATTGCTAAATCGGCGTAAAACCATATTCACTCACAAGGATGGTCGAATAAAAGTTTCAGAACCACACACCATATACAATTATACAATCTACGCAATCTACATTTATTAAACAGTCCTTATTTGTTCGACCAGTAAGTCATGATATTTGCAAAACGTAATAATTCTGTGTAAGCATATAAGCCACTAAAAATGTTTGAGGTAAAATAGTTTTGGATAGATTTTTTTTTACATTTAAAACAACTGGCAAATCTGGATCATATGTTATGTCAACTAACAAAATAGCTCTTAGATCTTGCTTGGCTGAACCTGGCACATTTAAGTAGATACTGAAGACTGTTCAAGTCGTAGAATGTAGAGCTACTGACTGAGTTTGGTTTTACGCCGCTTTTAGCAATATTCCAGCAACATCACGGCGGGGACACCAGAAATGGGCTTCACATTTGTACCCATGTGGGGATTCGAACCTGGGTCCGGCGTGACGAGCCAACGCTTTAACCATTAGGCTACCCCACAGTCCCAGTCGTAGAATGTAGAGCTACAGTTGCCCAATATATTAACATAACACCGAAACACGAATGTTTACTGAAATTTATGTCCACTCTTAACGTAACGCATTTTATAGGACATGGTAAGGAAGAAGTCATGCCCTGTTAATCGATAAATTGACATTACACGACTGTGGTGCCAAAATGGTAAGTAGAACATTAGCGGAAAAGTAGGTGATCAGTCTTCGTCAGACACAGTGCCAGGCTCTTGGGCACCATGTCCCCCACGCTTCGTAAAAACGCCTTCCACATTCATTATAGTATCAATTGCCTGTATCACTGACTCATCCATCAAATCTTGGAGCCAAAGCAGCTTCATCTTCTATTATCTGTTGTGTTATAATAATAATAATAATAGTCCATTTATATTGCGCGTTTATCCATGCACATTGCATGCTCAAAGCGCTGACATATTACCCCTGGTCAACGAGTACAGAACACTCCATGTGGAGAATACAACCGGTCGCCTGTCAGGCGCTCAAGGTTCAAATTCAGACTACCATCGCATCATACCAGGTACCCAATTTTACTGCTGGGTGGACAGAGGCAATTTTGAACAAACTCACTTGCCTAAGGTGAGACCACATGCGTCACATGCGCTTCGTTGTGGGGCAGGACTGAAGTCCTAGAAACTTTCAGGAGTCAAGCTGCCAAACACGGTCACCCATCCGAGGACTGTCCGCGACCAACGTTGCTTAACTTCAACTGATTGTGACCTGAGCTCTACGCACAGGACCACACACCGCCACGGATATAATTACATTCTATCTTGATAAATGCCACAGATCTTATCGCCTGTTTAAATTTGTTCTATATCCACATCTATCACATCACTATCTTAGACTCTCGTTCGTGGATGTTTTTGATTTGATTGTAGGAGGTTGACCTTTTGATATTCTGGTTTAATATGTCGCTCTGACAAATAGGTTCGCCATGAAAAACAGTAATATATGTCTGCAATAATAAACCGAATCTTAATAGAGTAAGATTTCACACAACTATAAAATTGTAACAAGTAATCCTACCACACAATAAAATAACCCTGTAACACTCAACGCAATGTAGCATATCCCTGTAACAAGTAATCACATAACACAACCATAGCATACCTGTAACATTCAATACAATCACACAACTATAACATCTCCCTGCAGCAAGTAATCAAATCACACAACTATAAAAATGCCTGTAACAAATAACCTTATCCCACAACTATAATATAATCCTGTAACTTTCAGTATAATCACACAACTATAGCATATCCTTGTAAGAAGTAATCACATCGCACAACTATAGCATATCCCTGTAACAAGTACTCACATCGTACAACTATAGCATACCCCTGTAACAGGTAATCACATCGCACAACTATAGCATATCCCTGTAACAAGTAATCACATTGCACAACTATAGCATATCCCTGTAAAAAGTAATCACATGACAAAACTACAGCATATCCCTGTAACAAGTAATCACATTGCACAACTATAGCATATCCCTGTAACAAGTAATCACATAGCACAACTATAGCATATCCCTGTAACAAGTAATCACATGACACAACTATAGCATATCCCTGTAACAAGTAATCACATAGCACAACTATAGCATATCCCTGTAACAAGTAATCACATTGCATAACTATAGCATATCCCTGTAACAAGTAATCACATAGCACAACTATAGCATATCCCTGTAACAAGTAATCACATAGCACAACTATAGCATATCCCTGTAACAAGTAATCACATCGCACAACTATAGCATATCCCTGTAACAAGTAATCACATCGCACAACTTGAGCATATCCCGGTAACAAGTAATCACATAGCAAAACTATAGCATATCCCTGTAACAAGTAATCACATCGCACAACTATAGCATATCCCTGTAAACAAGTAATCACATTGCATAACTATAGCATATCCCTGTAACAAGTAATCACATCGCACAAACTATAGCATATCCCTGTAACAAGTAATCACATCGCACAACTATAGCATATCCCTGTAACAAGTAATCACATCGCACAACTATAGCATATCCCTGTAACAAGTAATCACATTGCATAACTATAGCATATCCCTGTAACAAGTAATCACATAGCACAACTATAGCATATCCCTGTAACAAGTAATCACATCGCACAACTATAGCATATCCCTGTAACAAGTAATCACATCGCACAACTATAGCATATCCCTGTAACAAGTAATCACATGCACAACAACTATAGCATATCCCTGTAACAAGTAATCACATCTGCACAACTATAGCATATCCCTGTAACAAGTAATCACATCGCACAACTATAGCATATCCCGGTAACAAGTAATCACATAGCACAACTATAGCATATCCCTGTAACAAGTAATCACATTGCATAACTATAGCATATCCCTGTAACAAGTAATCACATAGCAAAACTATAGCATATCCCTGTAACAAGTAATCACATAGCACAACTATAGCATATCCCTGTAACAAGTAATCACATCGCACAACTATAGCATATCCCTGTAACAAGTAATCACATTGCACAACTATAGCATATCCCTGTAACAAGTAATCACACTGCACAACTATAGCATATCCCTGTAACAAGTAATCACATGGCACAACTATAGCATATCCTTCTGACAAGTAATCACATGGCACAACTATAGTATATCCCTGTAACAAGTAATCACATGGCACAACTATAGTATATCCCTGTAACAAGTAATCACATGACACAACTATAGCATATCCTTGTGACAAGTAATCACATCGCACAACTATAGCATATCCCTGTAACAAGTAGTCACATGGCACAACTATAGCATATCCCTGTAACAAGTAATCACATCGCACAACTATAGCATATCCCGTTAACAAGTACTAACATAGCACAACTATAGTATATCCCTGTAACAAGTAATCACATAGCACAACTATAGCATATCCCTGTATAAAGTAATCACATGGCACAACTAAAGCATATCCCTGTAACAAGTAATGACTTCGCACTATAGCATATCACTATGACAAGTAATCCTGCCACACAAATGTAGCATATCCTTGTAACAAGTAATCATATCGCACAACAGTAGAAAGGCTCTGTAACTGGTAATCTCGTCACACACCAACAATATATCTCTGTAACAAGTTATCGAATGACATACCAGTGGCAAAAATAATTCCCTGTTACAGTAATTCTGTCAAAAAACAGTAATATCTGTTCTGTAACAAATTTGACATTGAATTGACGTCTTTTCCCCGTTCTTTCACACACACGCTCGCACGCGCACATACACACAATCACTAATAAAGTTCACATGGCAGATCGCCGTTTTTGTTATGTCAGCTTTCAACATTGATTTGCAGAAATGTGCACCCTTTTTAGCCAGCCGCCAGGTTGTATTAGCGTGCGGTTAACTGATTCCAATATGGACGCCTCCCAGTGTTGCTCGAGATATGTCAAGTGAAACCGAGTCGAGCCGAGTGTGGTCGCGATGTAAGAAGGGAGCTAACTCGTCTTCGCTTAGAGCATAAGCTGAATACCCCCCAGTTGTGGTTCACTGTTCACGGAAATATTCGCCTTTATAGAAAGGAAGTTAAAGCAGCATTTCCTTAATGTGTATTGCTATTTCTTTCTCGGGCAGATTTCCAGAATGGTTTAATGCACGGTTAATGTATGTAAATAAACTCAGATCTTTCATGAACTAGTCTTTCAACCACTTGACACCCCCCACTCCAACCCCCCAGCCTCACCTGAGATTAACATACACGGTACGCCAAAGGCGTTTACAGCATATTGTCGACGCTGTTGAGAATTTATTTTTTGTAAAGAACATATCAAATGTTCTTATGTGCATGTGTTGTGTGGCTGCACGAACGGCTAAGGACACGCAGTTCGCAGGCAGGGTTGCGTCCCTTGAGCACGCTGAAAGCCTCTGATTGTGAGTTTTGAATTCCTGTTGAAATTGGGTTTTAAACAATCACATCATACCTGTGCTCTTGGTTTTCACCTTGTTGGTAAACGTCTGAGTCCTGATTCACCTCGAGATTTCCTCATGATATAATAATAGCAATGGAATACTGTGCAAAACGGTGTG